TATATATATATATATATGTTTGGTACCATCAAAGAGAAAAATTTTGCTTGTAAAGAAAGCGATCACAGGTAGCGCGAGTATCACCACACTGTGATAAAAGACTGTCTTAAACGCTTGCAGCTCTGTTACTTCCTAAAATAAAAAGAAAATAATATCTACAGTAAACTGGTAAACTTTATTTATCATGTAGACATGATTATACATAAATATATTATCGATCTTGAACTTACCTTTGTACTTGACATGATAGCGACTGTAATATGTGTATATCAAAGTAGCGAAATTAAAAAAATTGGTATTGACATAAATATCAGCTTTCTCAGTTAATTCTGCTGAATGAAATTTAATATCGATTCTTGTATATCGTTGCAACATGCGATGTCAGCAGGAACAAGGTTATGTTTTCAAGTAGTACAAGATAAATTCCACTAGAGACGTTGCATGTACCCGGTTTCGTCACGTCCCTGAGTTTTCGTCGTTTTCGTGTCAGTTAATTGCATGCGCCTTGCTGAAACAAACTTTATTTATAAAGTTATGTTTGTGTATGTATATACGTAGACGTCTTGCGGCGACACAGCTGATTCATCTGATTGTTTACCGGAATAGAAAAATGAACGACCGTTTGCAATAGCGGATATACTTTGCTCGTAGAGAAAAGTCACGTTAGTGGAATTCCGTTCAAACATGGGATGCTGCTACAGCTTTTGTAAAGAGGACAGCGGGCCACAGGTAAAATAACTGCACTTTCAACATTTTCTTCCTTATCACCGATGCATGACAATTGTCGCAGTTAATACGCCTACTTGACGATAGTGATAACGCCTGATTAACATACCACATATATCTGTGTTATAATAATAAAGAAGTTATAATAATAGAAAGTAATATAAGTATAAATATAAATTGTATATTTTAAATATCTATTACAATGCTTATTTGCAGGGCGGAGAAGCAAATGAAAGAACACATTTGCTGGTAGATCCTGTCAGTAATAATACAAATGTACCGAGAGTTCATAGGTAGTTTCAAGCACATAGATATTTTTGTGTTTGACATAATATTTCGAGCTCTCTTAAGTAACATGAGATTATATCTTTTGTATTCTTCTTTCCAGTGACGATTATGTTAACCAATATGCAAGTTCCGTGCCTAAGAAGACAGATGAACAGAGTGCATTGAATAGAATTTTACATGAAACTGCGGCGTGAGTAAATTTTTTTTTGTACTTCTTTGATTTCTTTTATATGATTTATATTACATATTAATTTGCTTTGAAGATATAATTTTTTCTATAAGAATTTTGTTTTTAATCTTTTAACACTGTTTTATATCATTTCGTCATGAATTTACTACACTGAATATTATAAAAAATATCACATAAAAGTAAATATATAATATTCAGAAGGAAAGAAGTTGCAGTTAATGAAAAAAAATAGCTTTAACTCCATTATAAATAACCTTCATGGAATAATACAATTTTATTAATTTTCCCAGTATAAAATATTATAAAATAAATTATTCTAAAAATTGTAAGTTGATGTTATGATTATTTTTTTTACAGCAATGTTATTGACGTGGGCGCATTAGACACTCATAATCTAGAACAACATGAATATATGGACAGATCTCGTGCGTATTCAAAGAGAATAGAATCGGGTCGAATTAAATTTCCTGAGGGTGCATCTTGCTTACTTAAAGATATACCTGCTCCAGAACGAACATTAGCTGCCGATCCACTTGCTACTGAAGATCAAGAATTGGTAAATACTTTACTTCATCTTTCTTGTATTTTCTTCGTTATGAGCACTAAGTTTGTCAATAATGAAAGTAATATATATATTAAACGTAGATTACAGAAATGCTCAACAAGGCTGTGACAGCATTAGGCGATGTAAAAGTCGAACACAAGGAGGATTTGGTGGTTCCATTTCTATCGTGATCGTTGAATATCCGTCAAATTAATTTATAATTTCATCTCATTTGACTGGAATTTTAACATCATAAAAAAGAATACGTCAAAAATATATCGACCTAAGTCCGAGTTATAATTCTAGCTTACGCTAAAACAAAAGATTGTAATGTATTATACAGAATGTTGAATTATTACTGCTGTTTATGCTTGCTATGTACTAATAGTTTCACGATTGTTAAATAGATATACAGTTCTCTCTTATTTTTTATTTTAAAGTTTAGTGTTATTAAGATATGCGCCATAATCTTTTATCTATGTGAAATTTTTATGTAAAAAATTAATTTGTTGTAATATTTATCGATAAGTACACACGCCTGCGCGCATGCGCGCGCGCACACGCACACACACACACACACACACACACACACACACACACGCGCGCGCACATACACACACACACACACACACACGCACACACACAGTATCTCGTCACTATCTCAAACACTTAATAGCATATTTTTTGGCCAATTGCGAATCTGTTGTTTTCCTAGAAAAAAATATCGAGTGAGATTTTTGCCTCTCTTCCACATTATATCTTTAATAAAATATGATATTAAATATAAATTCTAAATAAAGTTTATTCAAAATGAATTGATAAATATAATTTTGCTATTTATTTGCATCCTCAAAATTTAATTTATAAAACGAGATTTTTGCTTTTAATTGTTAATTATTAGCTGTTAATTATAATTTTTCAACTATCATTGCTTGAACATTTTTCAATAGAAAAATCAATTCCAAAGTGACCAAAGAATGTGCTAATTTATGTAATAATAGCAGGACACTTCGTATATACATATCTTCAGATAAAAATAAGAAAAAAAATACTATTTTATCATTGTTCAATAAATTCAATCGAATCTTACATAACTATGATTTTGTAATTATTATTATTCTTTTACTATTGTGAAGAAAGATTTAACGCAAATTTATTGCCTTCGGAAAATTGCAAGGAATTTGTAAAGAATTTTGAATGACAATATTAAATTATGTAAGGTATTTCATAATGTAACTTATAATTATTTATAAATAATAAAAATTTTTCTATTTTGCAGTGATAAATATAAATGTGATAAATGTTAACTAACTTGTAATTAGTATTAATATTTATATAGTAACAGATGTATAATTAATGCAAAATTAAGAAGAATGAGAAACATTTCTTTCGATATATTTTATTCTTTTGTACTTTTTCAAACCTCTGAAATTCTTTTGTATTCTTTCAAGCCTTTTTAGAACTTTTAACTCTAATTGTAGTCCAAGACGATAAGTTACAGCTAGAAAATATTTTTACTTTGTATATGCACGCACAGGTGTGTATTTTTAAACAAATCAAATTGTTTTTATTAAGGAAAATTCAAATATAAATATATATTTTGTTCGATTTATTTTTTAAATAGAAAAGAAAATCAAATAAAAATCCAGAGCACAGAATTTACAGCAATATCGATGCAAAATCTTTGTAATATTGCTACAACTTTTATGTAACTTCGTGCTTAGAAGAACTATACTGTAATTAATTGTAAACAAAAATTAAAAAAATTTTTTTCACAATAGGTATGTAGTTTAATTTTTCTTTACTATTCCTTTAAATTCAGGATTAAAATATTTTGTTATACATCTTTCTCAGATACGAATTTTTTTTTAATTTGAATTTAAAATTATTCGATTGAAAATTTGAGCAATAAAAACTATGAAATTGTGCGTTTTACATTGGTCTCGATTTTATTGTTATCTTGTTGAAAAATATTCAATTATTTCAATTGTTCAAATAGGAAGAAAAAAAAAATTGAATAAAAACACCGTATTGTATTTATTGTAAACAATTCATTATTTTCTTTCACTTAATTTTACATTTAATTATTTTCCTAAATTTTAATCAAAGTATCTTGATATATCTCCAAATCCAAATTTATAATAAGATTTGAACTTGAAATTTAAATATTTTAAATAATATTAACAAACTATAAAAAAAATTTTACAATATTAGTTCTGCAATAATATGGTATAAATGAATTTATAATGAGTTATCAGAAAGAAATAGGAGAGAATTTATCTTTTAAGGCAGTTGTATCAACGTCTTTTGATTTTAAACGAAATTTAACTTTATTTCGTTTTAAAACCGAAAAGAGACAGGGACAAAGAGAATTTTAAGCCTCGCTTAACATTAAAGTAATGTTGGTACAACCTAACACAAATTAATAAGAAGAATTTTTGGAAAGTGATACAATGTACAGTTTAAACCACGCGCTTGAAGGGAGAGGGATGAGACGCGTAACTCGATTGGCGCTCCGCATAGAGGCGCGGAGGGGCATCGACCGGTCTTGGATCGGACTGCCATCGGACTGGCAGTTCACCTCCTTCAGTGCCACCAATACACAAGAGCTGAGGACGGTCTTTCGCCGACCATTGGTCCTCAATTCGTCGACCAATTGGGAAAGTGCCCACGAAAATATCCAATGTAAGTTCACAAATTATCAAACATCAGCCCGATACGCGGCAATGGTCGTGCGCCCACGTTCGCGATTTAACGTCGATTTCGCGATCGCGTCGCGTGTTTCTCCGCGCGAGCCAGCGCCTTCGCGACGCCAAAAAAGCCATTGCCACACGGCCATGTTTGCCGAGGCGATATCGTGCTCTCTTTCCACGGACGTCCGATGGCGATCGACCCAGGTTTTCCTTGTCGCGGTTGAACGTCGCGTATCCTCGCGAACAATATGTTCGCGGACCGCAGCATCGGCGGTTGCGTCGCTCGGCGTCGCTCACGCGAATCTCCATTGAGACGTCTCGGAACGTTACTGCGAAACGGCGCGAATCCCACGAGACGACGCGCATCCCTTCTTTCATGTGCATGCGTGTGCATTCTGGTGCATTCACTCGTCGGGCAACGCTCTTTCTAGGCACTCTCACCATTCGTCTCATCCGCTCATGATTTGCGAAACATAGCTTGGAGATCGCACGTCCCGCGCGCGCGAAACCACACGTGGTCCACGCATCAAGCGAAATGGCTTGCTCTAAACAATCCAAACTCGCTCGGCGCGATCGCCACGTCGGCGGGCTACGTTGCATTTCTATAAATGCCTCGTAAAACTTCACGCACCGTTAACCTAATAGCGATATGATGCAAATTGATGATTGATGAATACACGATTGTATCAGTGATATCTTTTGGTATCTATTTTAATCTTATTTGCGATATGTATATATTTCTAAAGTATTATTTTGTTAATTTTTTTTTTTTTTTTACTTTATTGTAGCAAAGATTTATTATGGAGCAACTTAGCGAAGGACAGGCGGTAGTAGTCGGTAGTACCGGTGGAGCTGTACAAGTTGTTCAAATGGGCCAAGGTGGACAAACTATGATGCTTCCACAAGCGATACAAGTAGCAGCGACACAAGTAGCGCCTAATGGACAGATCCAAGTTGTTCCAGTTTCTAGCCTGACCAGTACTGGTCAACAGATAGTTATTCAGCAACCACAAACGCCACAAATTATTCAAACTCCCGATGGACAAACCTACATCTATCAACCTGTACAATTAGAAGGTCAAGTGCAACAAGCCCAACCAACAGGTAAGTTGAAAACGTATCTATTTCATGCATCTTAATATCTTTGTATAAATAATTCTCAACATCTTTTGTTTACAGTTATAAATCTTAATGGTAATCTCATGCAAATTGCTGGTACAACATCACAGACTGCAACTACTGCTGCTAGTACAACCCCAGTACAACCTTTGGGTAGTCCTACGTCAACAGTGTCACAAGGAGGGAATGTTGTCATGGTAATAATTTATAGAAAATTTTTATTTATGTAGTATGTATTAATATATTTATTTATGTATT